AGAGCTTGTGTCCCCCCTTGACCCGAAGTCGTGCCCGCTTTACCAGAAGCTTTTCGAGACAAAAAGAGTTGTTGCGGTGTGGGCCCAGGTTACTCCTATCACCAAATTGCTTGTATTTTCGGTTTACGCGAGAACGGCCGCATCCAAATTCCCTGAAGTGTATGCTGAAAATGATGCATTGTTTTCCAGCATTTTGGAATGCAGTGCACAGTTTGGACCTGTGCCCATTCTCATTTGCGGGGACTTGCAACTGAACCCAATGCATTACAGGAGCCTCTCAGGGGCCATCAACAATCATTCGTGGTTTGACCCCCTTTCCACGACAGATAGCAATGGGGACCTGTATCGGCCACTCACGTTCTCCAATGATGGTCTCTTTTCGGGCCTCGGGGATCATTGCACTTCCATCGACGGGATCATTTGTAACCATGTCGCATTCTCTGCGCTTAGGAGCATTGAAGTCCTTTCCTTGCACAAGGTCCAACACCGACCCATCAGGGCCTCCTTTTCGTGGGAATCAATAACCCAGGTTGGCTTCACGCTGATTAAGACTGCTCCCTTCAATTTGGAGCAGTGTTCGAGACCGGATCCATCAGACCCACTGTGTCCGTGCCACGATAATGCAGTACGGATTTGGACGAATGGTTTCGAATCCCGGTTTGATGTTGCACCGGATGTTGACTCCAAATGGGACGTTGCCAACCAGTTCCTGGTTCAAGTTCTGTCCACCAACGGGGCCACTTGGGACAAAGGCCCCCATGTGAGAGGTAAGCCCCCTAAGTTCAAGGAAACTAGGATTTCCCCAGGCCAGACATGCCATGGTGATGCCCTTTCACTCAAACTCAAAAAGATCTCGAAAACGCTGAACCTTCTCAGGGAGGTCTATCTTCGGTTGTCCAGACCTGTCCGCTCACCGGCCGATGCACTCACCCTGTCAGGAACCATACATAAGGTTGCCAAACAGTTGCTTCGGTGGGATTGCCCTCACCTGTGGACTAGAGGCACCCTTCCCACGTTGGAAACAACCTACGCTTGCCTGGAGTGGGTGCACCAGAAGTTGTTATTCACCACCACTGAGGTCCGCAAGTTTCGGATCCAGCAGTGGAGAGACCGCATCAAAGCGTCTAATGTGTCTGACAAGAAGTTCGTCTTTCAGCATTTAAAAAACAAAGCAGCTGAAGAACCCCCGAACCTCATTACAGACAGCTCCGGCAATGTCCTCTACCAGCCACTTGATGCTCTTGCGGAGTTCAACAACCAATGGGATACTGTCTTTGGGGCAAATGCGCTTCATGAAGACCCCCATACAATCCTGCGTGTTGTCTGGCCGTATGTAGCAGACTTCTCCACTAAAGCTGAAGTCCCGCACATTACGGCCCATGATCTCCACAAGCAAATTCAAAGGCGGAAGAAGGAGGCTGCGCCAGGGTTGGACGGCTGGCGAACAGCAGAACTCCAGATTTTACCTTGGTTTGCGTTCGTTCCCTTTGCTATGATCTGCAATGAAATCGAGCAAAACCTCTCGGACCTACCAAAAGTGTTGACCATCGCAAAGCAAATGGTTTTGAACAAAAACGGTGACCCATCACCGATGCAAAAGAGGCTTATCACTCTGTTGCCTGTCCTCCTTCTTAGTTATACCGGCCTCAGATTTAGGCAGCTTCAAAACTGGCAGAACCAGGTTATCCCAAGAAATCTGTGTGGTGCCATCAAAGGTCGCACTATGTCGGCCGTCCACACTGCACTGCGCATGGAGCTGGATGTTGCTCATCAGAACGGGGACACCCTGGTAGGACTCAAATTAGATAAGTCAAAATGCTTTGATAGAATCATCCCGGCCGTAGCGGGCGCTTTGATGATGGCCTTTGGTGCCCCGCGTGGGATCGTCCACTTTTTCGTGCAGATGTACACCCACCTCAAGCGGCACCTTGCATTGAGGGGTTGGATCTCCCCCACCCCCACCACTGCGTGTAACGGAGTCGCACAAGGGTGTTCATTATCCCTAATTGCAGTCAACCTCATGATGGCTGTGTGGGCCATTTTCATGAACCTCATTCCTCACGTCACGGCCAAAGCGTTCATCGATGACGCTTACCTTTGGGCGTCGATCTTGCGAGTTGAGAACCTGGTCCAGGCATATGAAGTCACAAATTTTTGGGACTCCCTCATTGGACAGGCCTCTAATCCGGGGAAATGTCAACTTTGGACGTCCGATGCCAAACAAAAACCACGTATCTCTGGCAAGTTCCCAAATGTTCCCATTGCCGACACCATTGATGTTCTTGGAGTCAAACTCTATGTAAGCAAAGTCAAGTCATTCGCTTTCGATGATAGGAAGACGGAGAAACTGGTCAACGATGTTCGCAATATCTCCGCCCTTCCACTCAATACCTCATCCAAAGCCAAATTGATTGCTTGTAAAGTGGTGCCCCAAATTACCTATGGTGCGGCAATCACTAAGATTCCTCAAAGGGTCATTTGGAAAACACAAAATGAGATCGTAAATGTTTTGTGGGCCAACCGGCCACACTGGAGATCACGCATGTTGGTTTTGGGCCTCTTGGGGTTGCCACATCGCATGGAACCTCGAATTGCGAGGGCCTATAGTGCCATCCTCGACTTCGTTCGGTTCTTGAACCAATACCCAGCCTCGATCCCAACGTGCTGCTCCCTACAGGCAAGTCAGCAGTGGCCCCATGAATCCCTTTTGTGGCAGATACAGACTTGCCTGGGCATCCTCGGTCTGAAGCTTGAGCCCAATCTTTGTGTTTCTTTTCGGGGTTCTCAGAGTATTTGTTTGTCTGAGGTTAACCCCAAGGATTTTGCCAAACCATTGCAGCATTTTGCCATTCAGCAATGCTATTGTGCCGCCGTGTCGAACAATCGCAAAGACATTCAGAAGTGTTCAGGAATCTTTGATCCCGAGCTGTCGGACATTTTCAGCCGGCGGTCCAAACTCTCCTTTGATTCTCCATTTCCTGTCAAAGCGTTTTTCGATTCCGTTCGTGTTGGGTGCAACCTCACAAATGATAGATTGTTTCGGGCTGGCCTAGTCAACAGTCCACAATGCCGCATGTGTGATGCCCCAAAAGAAACATGGGAACACCTCGTCCATGAATGCTCAGGCGTAGAATCAGTTCTCCCTCGACCAGCTGCCCATGAGCTTGGAGAAAACTTTTCTCAATTCGGATTGTGTGCTCACCCTCGCCAAGTTGCGGTGCAAAGACTGAGGGTTTCTCCGACGGGCGCTCCAGCGGTTGCTTTCGAACCCGATGTGAGCTCCATTTTTTGGACCGACGGCTCTGTCCAGTGGAACTCATACTTCTGGCTCGCTGCAGGAGGGTATGCTGTCATTGCTGAGAACGCCGAAGTTGTCGAAAGTGGACCAGTCCGACATTGGGAACTTTGTGCCTACACTACAGAGCTTTTCGCGCTGCTGCGGGCCATCAAGCTTGCCTCAGGGGTGGTTGAAATCCGAACGGACTGCCTCACGATTGTAGACCAGTTCACAGACCTCTCCACGACTTTGGAAGTCAATGCCAAGTGGTCCCACCAACCGTGGTGGGTGGAGATCTTGACCATCCTTCGCAGCAGGCTGTCGAGACACCCTCACCCCATACATGTCTCTTGGGTGCCAAGCCACGTGTTGGAAGACTGCCCCATTTGTCTTCTTACAGAGAAGTTGGCTAAGGAGCATGGCTCTACTGTCTTAGACATCTCCAACAATCGACAGGCGGACAAACATGCGAAGGCTGCTGCCATTGCAGAATCAGCGATCCATCCCGACAAACAACCCATACTCGAGAAAGCTGTTCTAAATCGCCAGGAGTGGCTTGTTCTTGTCAACTGGGTATTGGAAATGAAACAGCCACCGCCATCGAAGCGATCTGATGAGAGCACTTTGGAGCCTCCAGTTGTTAACTCCATTGAAGACGTTGTGAAAAGGTTCCCTACATGGTCTTGGACTTCGCCTTCTTCAGATTACCCATGGAAGCCCAAGATCCCAAGGGGTCTACCATGTCCGTCATCATGGCAATTTGAGCTGGAAGACTGGCTTTCATTCCGTTCCTTCTTTGATAAGCTTCGCTGGAAAATTGATGAGGAGTGTAGTTTTTCCACAGTGGAATTGGCATGTCTGTTTTGGTGGCGCGGGGGGTCCCATAGCCAACTCGCCCCCAAGACAAGCAGGTACAGCCATTTGATCACTGTGTTCAGGACGATGCTCAAGCATTTGACACGGTCCGCCGATGCCCAACCGTTTCCGTGTGACTTTGATTCAAGGCGGAACAAATGTTGCGGCAGGGAACTCCCGAAAGGAGTCTTTGTTGGGTGCGAGGCGTTCATGTCGGACGATGAGCGCTTCCAACTGATTCATCTTTTTGATGAGGGTGCTGGCCGGAGTCTTTCTTCATGGGACTCAATCCTCTAGGTGCCAATTCGATGCATGCTCCTTTCATTGTTCACCCCTTGCCGGACTCCAGAGAGGGTCTGGTAGCGCTCGTCGACTCTCGATTTGTGCGCGATGGTGGAATCACCCCCCCCACACCTGGAGATGTGAATGACCACTGCAGGAGATGCGTTGCTACGGAGGAACGAATCCACTCCCATCGGTTCCCATCCTGAGCCATGTTGACCAGTTGGAGGACTCACCACTCATTCGCTTCAAAAGGGTGGTTGTTATGACACACATCCTAACCTCACTCTTAGAGAGTCAACAACCTGAGAGTTGTTCTCAGGGACTAAAACAGGACACCCTGGACATTGGTACACCTGTTGGGTATGTTAAGTGAACGGCGTGCTGTTCTTCTTCCCAAGGAGGGGGGTTGATGAGAAGCTGTCCAGCTGACCAATGTGATTGCCACTCAGTGCGTGGCTTGCAGGTGGTAGTTCTATGAGGTGCCACGTGTTTCTTCTCTCTGCAATTTGTGAATTTTATCTGGATGGTCACCGGATGGTCACCGGATGGGAGTTATGCCCTGTGCAGATCGGCGACATGGGAGGACTGGGATGACCTCGACGAAGGCTTCGGCATGCCTTTCTCCGAAGAAGACGACGGGGCAACTGAAGGCCTGGTGAATCCAGGTCAGGTGTTGGATCTATACACCCACAAGTGACGACAGTTCAGGTTGAGACTTGAATGAATCGTTGTCTCCAATAGTGGAGAAATCTGTAGACAACACACATGGCTTTGAAACATATACAACACACCGGTACCCGTGGTTTTGAGGTTTGTTTCACACCATGGCTTTTCGCAGGCAGAGCCGGTCTGCGGGGTTTGGGCAGAGTTTCTTTGTTCGGACTGGTCCGAGGGAATCCTCCCAAAGACATAGGATAAGGGGTCATGCCATGAACATGTGCTCCATTTGCTGTTCAACTTGCGCATGATTTGGGTTCTTGAACTGAGAACAGGTAGCTCATATGCTGCTTCCATCGCCACTGGAATGGGGAAGCTTCCAGCCGTTTCCGCAGCCTCACCACTGTACTCTTGATTTTATCGCTCATCCCATCTTCAACGAGCTTCATGAGCATCCTTTAGATCATTTGTAGCATGGCCCCGGGATAAACCAAGAACTACGGAATCCATGGAAGCAAAGATATAAGCAAGTATGCAAAGTGCCTTCAACATATTTTTTTTCTTTTAGTACACTTTGCAGTTACATCCCATCATCGAACCAACAAATCAATCTGTGGAAGACGGTTTTCTGCAAATTGAGGTTTGGAGGTTCCACTTCCCAGAGTTTCTCCCATGTAAGGCCTAGTCAAGGCCTATCAGCATCCACACGAGCGATTCGCTGACTCCATGACCCGGGCGACTCGGATCGTTCTTTTCCCGCACGGTGTTCTGAACACGCTGAGGCGACGAGAACCGAGAGACCTCTGGCTTCGTGGGGAGCGTCTTCGACGGGATGGACGCCCCTGCGGGCGCTCAAGCCAGCGTGTTGGCAATCAGTTTGGGGCGGAGGAGGTATGACATTGGTGGAATGACAATGGTATTCCGATATTCCAATGCCCAGTAAATCAGTAAGAGTTGGCCAGAAAGGATCACTCTTCATGACCACGGTGGCCTGCAACTTCACCGAAGCATCATCACCCACTGGGCCCTGGGAAGGCCCGGGAGATGCTCCGACTCAAGATCTCCCAAGGAATGACGGTGGGGAAATTCGGGTATTTGACCAGCGTTTGGAGTGCTGGAAAGATGGTGGATGGTGACATTCTGGATGCCTGAACCTCACTGGTTTCATTCAAAGGTCCAACAGTCTGAGACTGTCCAGACGATATGGAAAGCAGGCCCTGGGCAAGCTGCAAGCCTCTTCTTGTGACTTTGGCCCCATTGCTGAACAAACCGTTCCAGTCGGTGCTGGTCGACTTTTCCTAAGGGCATTCGGGATATCCCTTTCTTTCACCCATCTTTGATGCAGCTTTGTAGCAATGGGTCAAAAATGGTCAAAACCATGCAAGCTGTTTGACTCTGATTTTCATGGCCTTGCCAAGCGCCACGTGGCGCGAACCGCAACAAGCAAACGACCCCTTTTTTTTGTCCCATCCAAACGACGAACCGCTTGCCGTTACGACTCGAGGTGACCTCGATTCCCAGCTATGAAGAGCTCAGTCTTTTGTACGACGACTTTCCGGTGCAAGGCGCGGTCTCGGGATCCGAAAGGGGGATCAATGTGGTTGAGGAGAGTGAGTGTGGCTTTGAGACGAGACCCTGCAACCTGAGTGACCTCTGCACCACCAACCACTCCAAGAAAGGCCCTTTCCAGGCAGCAAACCAGGCAGCAAAGCGGATGTTTCATGAGGTGGTGTGGCCGAGTGTGGCCATTTGCTACCTCTCAAATTGCTTTATATAAGTTGGCCACACACTCATGGATATGCGTACTGACTTGATAGCGGTGCCACACGCCAGCCTAAGAGACCCAAATCCTGAAAAACCAGGTGAAGGGGACCAGAGTTCCTGTAGTTAAAGGCCACGAACCGACGAGGCGACAGGTTGACGGCGTTCCGCTCACGTCTGCAGCTCAAGGAAAAACATCCAAACGTCCAAACTTCGAGGTTCTTGGCTTAGCCTCGCGCCATGCAGAAACTGGAAAAAAGCAGGTACGTTCGGATGATCAGTCCGAATATCCCACTCTGTGACCTAGCTTCGTTGAACTGGGTCAGTCACAGAGTGCCCAGTTCCCCTGCAAAAAGCTCAAAACAATCCGAAGGATCCCTATGATTCCAAGGGTTACACACACACGCCCTCCCCGAAGGGAGGCAAACTTTTAAGCGCAGCTGAAAAACTAAGGCTCCAACAGGTTCCAATGAACCTCAAAAGTACTTCGGTCGCTCTGACCACGTTGAGGCGTTAAGCCAGCTTGGACCGCTGTGGTCACGTAAAGGCATGAGCCAGCTTGGAATTCCAAAAATAAGACATAAATCATCGGACGTACGGCATTAGCCAACTGCTGCCCGCTGTGGGCACGTACGTTTCCAGAGCAAAGGAAACAGAGACGTACACCCGTTCGACGGGTCCACGGGAGGCACTCTGCGGGCTCATCCCGGGTTGGCACGAAGCCAAACACACTCATGGATATGCGTACTGACTTGATAGCGGTGCCACACGCCAGCCTAAGAGACCCAAATCCTGAAAAACCAGGTGAAGGGGACCAGAGTTCCTGTAGTTAAAGGCCACGAACCGACGAGGCGACAGGTTGACGGCGTTCCGCTCACGTCTGCAGCTCAAGGAAAAACATCCAAACGTCCAAACTTCGAGGTTCTTGGCTTAGCCTCGCGCCATGCAGAAACTGGAAAAAAGCAGGTACGTTCGGATGATCAGTCCGAATATCCCACTCTGTGACCTAGCTTCGTTGAACTGGGTCAGTCACAGAGTGCCCAGTTCCCCTGCAAAAAACTCAAAACAATCCGAAGGATCCCTATGATTCCAAGGGTTACACACACACACACAGCTCGGCAGAGCACCTGGTCTGGTGAGAGATTCTTTGAAAAGACCCCTCTTCCTCGACCGGGACTGGTGGAGCACCGGTGTCTCCACAAGATGAACACACGCCGCGGACCTCCGCGGACCGCCATTCGCGGATGGAGCATCCCTGGCCGTTCACGCGTGGACCGCGCCCTCCAACGAGGCTTGGTTGACACAGGCCATGGAGCCCGAGCGATTCGTTTCACACACCCGAGCGATTCGTTTTCCATGGAAGTGATTTCACCACCTGCTTGGTGGAGAGCAGAAGTCTTGTTCTTACATGTTCTTACAAGATTTACAAGTCAAAGCTCCAAGAGAACATGTCATGTAACATGTATTAAAAAGATCCAAACGTTGGGGGTCCCACGCGTTCGTCCCAGAAGAGAAATAGATGGCGAGAAAGGGGGTCTCCCTAAGTCTAATAACTACACACCCAAGAGAGTGCGCTCCTCCCGACTCGGAAAGGCCAAACCGTCCAGAAGGAGCCCGAGAAGCCCACACCGACTCCGGAGGTGGCACTGAAAGAGAAAGAGCCATCGCGCGCGAAGAGGACCTTGGAATACATGGAGGAGCTACTTGGTGTCAGAATTTTTCGGACCTTGCTGGGGGAAAACGTGTGGGTGTGTATCATTTAAATAGAGAGACCTCCCACAATTCGACGCCCTGGAAGAAGGGAAATCGACCTGTCTACCCTTCTTCCTGGCCACCTTGGGCCAGGGGCTCTCTCTATTGAAATACACGTGTGGAAGAGGTGAAGAGGTCCGAGCCTTGACGAGAGCCACTCTTTTTCCGACAATGCGACCAGGTCTCAGTGAGGAACAGCGGCTGTATTGAGCGCTGGTCCAACAGAGTCCAAGGGTCGCAGGAAGGACCTGGATCCAACCCGATTTTATCCGATTTTGTGGGGTCGAATTCCCAAATCCAACTCTCCAAGAATTGCTCGTGTGGGACATTTTTTCAGACTGATGGATTGGGGTGGTTTGGGAATTCGATTTTTGGGATTCGGAATGAAGGCATGACATATGAAACGTGAGGAGTACGAACAAGCTTTTGTAACCTTGATACAGTCCATTTCTGAAGACCTTGAGGCGTTGTGGGCTGTGGGCCTTGCCGCAATTCCTCTCCACCGGCCTAGAAACGGATATAATTACGTTTGGTGCTCCTAAGCCAAAAAGCAACCTAGGGATATCAACTTCTAAGAAAGAAGGCTCTTCTGCCACGGGGTGATGTTGTACGTATAATTCTTTTCAGCATGTATGCTTCTGTTGTCACTGTTGCCTGGTTTAAGATGATATACCATGCCCCAGCTGTGCTATTTTCGAATAAGACGGTTTCCGGATGCGAACCGCCGCGGACGCCCGCGCCTCTGGCCGGTCCTTGTGAGTTCAACCGAGCCGCCACACCAAGGAGAGAATATGAGGCGCGGTGGGCGGGGAGTCGGTTGAGAGACTCGGAGTGAGTTTGCAACCGACTCGGTGAGGAGTGGAGTGGAGTGGTCGGTCCGTTCATGCTTTTTCATAAGTCATTGGGGATGGCAATTACATGCAATTACTTATGAATATTCATTAGACGATCCATCTTGATTGATTACCACCTTTTATCCTTTTCTTCCATCCTGGTGGTGGACATGCCGTTGGAAGTGCAGCCCTTGGAGTTTGATGAGAGCATCTAGCCACCCTCCGCAGGCGTTTCCAAGCGATGCATCGTATGTACATTAAATATATATATATATATTTACCAGGCTACCGCCTGCAGCCGCCGACCCTAAGGGAAAATGTAGTGGCAGGGTTGGGTCCTCGCGGCCGGGGCCCTGCCAGTGGAATTGTTTTTTCATAGAATTGGTTACGTTTTCCGCTGGATTTGTAGGATGTCAAAGTTTTTGCAGCATTTACTTAGGAATGCTCTTGCTTTTTGCTAGAGCCTGTCACGTTTTCTGCTGGATTTGTAGGAGTTTCAAAGGCTTTTCCAGCATTTCCTCTGGTTTATTTGGGTATCTGTACAGGCATCGTGTCGGTTTTTGGGTTCCCAGGTTTGCCCAGAAAATTGCTAACCCATTTTCTTAAATCTAGCACAGACCATAGGCGCTAGCAGGAACCCGGAGCCCGGCAGAGCATGAAAGGCATGAGTACAACAATGGAATAAAATAGGTTAGCAATTTCCTGGGGAAATCTGGGACCCCAAAAACAAGAGGAAATGCTAGAACATGCTTTGAAAAGCACACAAATCCACCCCAAAACGTAACAAAATCTAGACAAAGCCAAGAGCATTCCTACGAAAATGCTGGAAAAGCCTTTGAAAATCCTACAAATCCAACAGAAAATGTGACAAAATCTAGGACAAATCAAGGGTATAGGCATGAGTACAACAATGGAATAAAATAGGTTAGCAATAGGTTAGCAATTTTTGGGGGAAATCTGGGAACCCAAAAACAAGAGGAAATGCTAGAAAATCCTTTGAAAAGCATACAAATCCAGCCGAAAAGCCAAGAGCATGCTGGAAAAGCCTTTGAAAATCCCACAAATCCAACAGAAAACGTGACAAAATCTAGGAAAAATCAAGGGTATTGGCGGGGATCACACCGCGACCACCCCGGGATTCGAGCCCGGGACCATTTATGGACCGTGCTTATTTTCCCGCGTGGGTGAAGAGGGTGCCCCAAGATGTAATTAATTGGGATGGACAAATCTTGGACAATTCTTGGAGAAATTTTGTCGAAATTTTGTCGAAATCTTGCCGAAATTTTGTCGAAATCTTGGCGAAATCTTGGCGAAATCTTGGCGAATTTCGGCAGATTTCGTCACTGCAACAAGGGTCCGGAGGGGCAGGGGAGGTAAGGCTAAGGCTAAGGTCTAAGGCTAGGTCTAAGGCTAAGGCTTAAGGCTAAGGCTAAATCAACAGTCACGCCTCACCCCACGAGTGGGGTCGGCGGATATAAAAGCAATATTATATACATACATACATATCTACTATATGATGCATAATTATGTTATATATATATAACAACTGTATTATATATATATGTATATGTAGGATCGTTCCTTGGACATCACCATCGTGGATGCAGTGTACACCAACGACATGATTGTGGAACTCAAAGTCCAACAAGACGCAACACCCTGGGTGGGACCTCTCATGCGAATGTCTTGGCTGAAACCCGCCTACACCAGAAGCAAAGCCACAAAACCCATTGGTTGGAGGGTCTCCCGTGGTCTCGCGGATCGGGAGATGGTGGTTTCCCGGGTGGATCTCCCATGGTGACCTTTTTTGGTTCTTTCCCGGTTCCGGAAGCAAATCCAAGACCACTCACCCCATCTCTCGTTTTTGCTGAGCGCCAGGTCATTGCGGAGGGCATTGCGGTGCGGACGCTGCCGGACGAGCGGTCGCCACGCACGGGAGAGATCCTCCGGCAAGGGGATGCTTGGTCTAAGCCATGGCATCATGGACCAACGTGGATGGGAAAATGGCCCCGAGTTCGGACCATTTTCAATCCGAAGACCCCACAGGTGGAAGCCAGCCAAATCCGGGCTGGGAGAGAGGTTTGAGCCCTTCACCCTGGGAACAGTCCAACAAGAGTCATCAGGAATTATCGGAAATGACTTTATGAATGGTTTATGGTTTGGGTCACCGACGTCTTGTCATTTGTTATGCTTGAGAAACGGGCCCTTGAACCCAGTGGATCCCAGCCAGCCACCAGGAACCAGGGGCTGGACCGCTCGGTCTCGGCCCTAGAGACCCCCGACGTCGGCGTCCCATTAGGGGGAGCGTTGTCTGCGTCCCATCGGCTTTCTCGACGTCGGCGACCACGATCCAGTGATGAAACCGCGTGGAGCGGATGGGTGGCCGAAGCACATGAATGGAATACCCCCAACATGAAAAAGATCTGACGATGGGTCAAAAGCTGGAGACCTGCCCGGTCCACCATGAAGCTTGACCCTTGAGGTCAAGCAAGGTCTCCTGGTTTTGACCCACAGCCAACGTGAAAACAGTCTGACCCTCGGAATTGAATACTATGGAAGCCAGATACAGTTTCTCACTCATACAGCATATCCCATGAAGTCCGATACCAATCTGGCATGAGGACTTGCACCTGCTCCCAGCGCTAAAAAAGAGCCATACAGAAAGGGGGGTCATCATCCCGGGGTCTGACACTTAAGGCATTAATGAGTTATTTTCTCATCGATGTTTGGGATTTCGACCTTTGGTTCAGATTTCTGTCAACTCATCCGCTTTGGCTCTTTTGTACTGGTGCCCTCCATCTATTCTTTCGGCACCAAAAATCTCCGATCCATTGCCATGGATCCACCGAATTGCCGTGATACCAACTCCAAGACCCTATACCAGCATGCAAATATGGTTCAATGAGTTCTAATAGGAATGATATATGAACATTTTCACCTACCAGCACCCGACTTCACAGGTCAACACCTGCCACCTTTAAGTCTCCAAAAGCCACTAGAGGAGACCTGTAGGCACCCATGGGAGTTGAAAGGTAAAGAATATGCTTTTATTGAACATATGTACAGTATGTATTTTAAATTGTTATTATTCTTATCTTAAAAACACACTTTATATCAAACTGTTTATTTATTTCCCCGGCTTCCAACAGTAACAACGATGAACAGCTGAGGAGAAGTTTACCGCCATCGAGGCCCAGGACGGCAGAGGCAATGACCCCCGTGCCCTGGAGGGGATGGTGAGGGGCTTGAGCGGCTGGGCACTGGATGAATGAAGAAGTCCTCAAGACCATCTGGGAATATGGGCCCAATGTGGGCCCATGTGGGCCCATGTGAGCCCTTGCCTCACCCCGAGTTGTTCCTTTTTTGGAAAATAGGTGTTGGGGGATGGGTGTTCATTGTGAGGGACGACAGGGGGATACAAGGGGCTTGGGAGGCCTCTTTGTCTACTCTTCCTACTTTCTTTGGAGTCACGGTCTACTAGGTTTGTCTCTTCACTTCCCGCTTCCAGACACGCACAATATCTCTCGTTCCAAGCCCAAAGACTTGAAACCATACTTGTGAGGGCCTCCTGAAGCAATGTTTCTTCCTCGGGATGTACGGTCCCATTCCACTACCATGGCAAGTGACCACCAGCACTTTTCCCCAGGTCGGGTGGTGTTTTTTGGCCTCCGTGACGATGTATTTTTAGAATATATGTTCCATCCACGCATCCAAATTGGGTGTTGAATTTCAGCCTCATTGGTGTTTGGTTGAAGGTGACATCGGTGTTAGCAGGGTCGGTGAGCCACAATGAGATGAATCTATGGAAGCAGGCGTGGCGGTAGATGCATGAAGCCTAGCCGCTAGCCAACTGTTCCATGTCCTAGATTGGGCATGTGCAGATGTCATAGAATCATTTTTGTTTGTGTGTCCCACTACCAGCAACAGTCGGTACAGGATTATTTTGTTTTATATAAAAGAAAGGCCTGCCACCTAACCGTGATCATCCACTTGGCCCTGGGATGTAGGGATATACCCAAAAGATTTTCTTCAAAGACTTTGCTTGATATATTTCTGACCACTTGATCGCCATCATTGTTGTCGAAGAATCAATGGACTCAGTGAGATTTCAATCGGCCTTGTTCCCCTGGTTTCAGCGGGAGAAAAAACAAGTTCTCACATGCTGCTAACCAGCTCACCACAATCGAACCCGAAAACACGGGTTTTGCAGAGGAACGCAATGGACTGTGAGTGGACCGGCCCAGCCCTGATCGCAGCACTATTCAAAGGATCGTTGTTGGATATAGTAAATTCATATTCATGGAATGTTGGGGGTCCATAAGCCATTTTTGGGGTTGGTGCTGCTAGGAGCCCCCCACCTTCGCAACCAATCTGTACTCCTGGGCTGCGGGACCACAGAGATTGAAGTCGGGTCGCACCGCCAAGCTGCGAATTCCGAGGTTTGTACCTACGGCTTCCGGAAGGTCGTGGATGGGTCTTCAATGATGAGACACCTTTCGGATGTGGATGGGGTGGGAAGCCGGGGAGATGCGGATGAGGTGGTCCTGCGCGAGCGTGGGTCGAAATCGGCCCGCCGGTTGGTTCTCACGAAGCCTGCAACAAGACAGTCCTAGAATCTGAGGGACCTCTATGTTGGACGCAGAAGCACCAGAAGAATGGCCTTACCTTGTCCCAAAACAGGGGTCCAATATGGCTCAATGAGTTCCAATAGTATACTGTAATATACAGTGGTTTCAGAATAGATGGCACAACCCCCACGATGTGTTTTATCTAGGGGTCCATCTAAACCACCGAACTTGGGGATTGTGCCATCTACTCTGAAACCACTGGATTAAATTAAGAAGCTAGTAGTAACAAGTGCCACGCTACTAGGAACAGGTGCCTTACTAGTAGTAACAAGAAGCTATTAAATAACATTTTTCACCTACCAGCGCCCGACTTCACACGTCACCCCCTGCCACCTTTAAGTCTCCAGAGTCGGGTGCCGGCGGCCGGGCCTCGCCAGGGACTCCCTCGGAAGACCTCACTCCGAGCGTGTCACGCTTAGAAAATCACCGGCAGAGTCCCCACCAGCCACGTTTGGACCCCAACCTGAATGCCATAGGATTTGGGGCGCAGACTTGGGGACGGAGTGCAAGGTTCTTGGGTGAAATGGTCAAACTAAGAGTGCCGGCATCCTCCCACTGGTCACCAATGGTTCGACCTATTAGGGCCCAACCCTTGAAGGAGACTGGGATGCCGGTAGGGGAGTTGCACTTTGGGGGTTTCTGGTTTCCTTCCGGCTTTCCCTGTCTCGTTCATCTTTTTTCCCGGACATCCCTTCCGCCTTCGAGCCTTCTCATCTCCAAGCCCTTCGGATTTCTTCGGGTTTTCGCACCCAAAACGATAGGAATGACGAGTGGTTCCGATCCTTTTGGCTTTCCAGGGATCGACCTGTGGTTCCGATCCCACCCTTTCGGGCTTGAAAGGCTGCCCAAGCAGATGAAGCTTTGACCTCTAAAAACGCAGCCACCAAGGCAACGCCCTTTCGCTCTATCACCTCCCGCCAAAAGACTGGGGTGGTTTATGAATGTACATGCAATTTGTGCATTCAGCAATTCCTGGGGATCGAGCTCCATCTTTTTCGTTCTTATTCTGCTTTCGTTGAAACGATCCCCGCCAACAGACCGAATCCAAAGGACCGCAACCCGCAGCTCAGACCGAACCGAACCCGCCTGTGTAAGGAAGATCTATCCGGGCTTACCCTCGGTGAAGCTCACCGCACAGGCCGTGGCCTTCAGTTCTTGCCAACAATGACACTGCCCGCAGTGCATGTAAAAGAAAGACTCTGAAACGGCATGTTTGGAAGGAAAGCAGGTCCCTAGAGGCCCTAAAGGTCAGGAGTGTACCTCATGAAATACTGGAGTTGGACCATACAAGAGACACTGTAGTCTACGAGGTAAAGGACGAGGCTTTACTGGGTCTTTGTAGGGGTTTTGGTTGAACTTCCACCCGAAAATGGTGTTTTCTTCCATGTTAAACGTCGAACAATGGCCCTCAGACATGCCAAGTTCACGCACGGCCTCCGTGTGGGCCTGTTCCACATAACATGGGCAAGGCAAACCCCTCCCAAGTTTGCGCCGCTACGAAACGCACCATACATCCACTCCGTGCAGGGGAAGTGAGCAGGGCCCCCCACAACTCGAGAACAGTGCAGCGTTGCTGGCTGGGTCACTGTAAGGTGCTGAACTCCCCT